GAGGTGCTACTCTCAAGTTGGCTAAGTCATAGATTTGCCACCCTCAAGTGAGCTTAAAACTCGCATTTTGATGAATTGTTCCAATTCAAGTAATGAAGCCTTCATCCACAGGCATTCATGCAGTTATATCAAATAAGCAGTTGGCATCATGGCAAGCATGCTAACATGGCAACATACACATCTCATGCAGTGATGCTAAAGCCAAAACACTTGCAGTGTACTCCGAGCCAAAGAAAGAAGCTAGTTAGTAATCAATGCATGATCCTAGCTTATGTCAACAATGCCTAATGCAACACATGCAAAAATGCAACTAAAATAGGCTCGGCTATCTAGAATGGCATATGAATGCGACAATTCGATACATGTATTCAAATAGAAATTGAAATACAATGCAGTTTGTATGATGCGCCGAGCCCAGTGCATGCAAGACAGATGAATGGATGCACACATGCAAGCATAAGGATGCTAATTGAAACATGCCCTAAAACTAACCATCAAAAGCTAGTAAATAAAAGGGAGAAAGAAATAGGGGTTTGGAAGACATGCATCACACACACGCACGCTTATTACAAAATTTTCCCTTTCGACGGAGGGTCCGAATAATAAGCTAACTAGCTAATCTAAGCTAATTAAACTAATTATTACATCACAAAACTAATTAACTAACAAGTTAACTAATTAAGTTATTACAATACAAATTGAATAGTTAAGCGCATTAACTACTTAAGTACAAAAACGAAGCACTAGCTTACTAAACAAAGCAGCTAAGTAAAGAGGCTAAGTAAAGCAGTAAAGATAAGCCCTTGGGGCGAGAAACGCATGCATGCTTAGTCGCCCCATTCGGAAATCCATTGCGATGCCCCACTTGCCTCTGTTTTCAATTGTTCTCAGAACTCTGCACTAAGCCCCAGATAGCTTCTAACTCACCTTGGGGACCGTCAAGAGGGTTGCCGACCAGTTATTGGTGGTGCCAACCACCTACCGACCACCTATGTTTGCTGCAGACCAGAAAAAGTGGTCGGCCAGCCACTTTTACTGGTCTGCCAACCAGTTTTGCTGCCACACTTCCAGTTTGCTGCAACAAAGAACAAGAAGGGGCATGGTAATGTATTTGCAAGATATGTGTGCACAACCACCCTCCCTATCATTTCTTAAGCTCAAGAGAGTGTAGTTCTCGACCTTTGGGCCACCAATCACGCATCTCGATGCATGATGGCCGAGAAGTCGAGATTGCACAATTCAATGTAAATGAATGCACAAATAACGCATAAAGCCTTAAACTCTATCATATGTGATCAAGAGTGGCGTCGGCGACTGAGAATTAAGGCATGTTTCATCACTTCAAGTATGAAACATTCCTTGTTTCTCGTGTTCGGATTAACACCCAATCCAAACAAATGCAATGCAAGATGGTTAACCTATCGATCCTAATGGCATGCATACACAATGCAATGCAACATAAGCAACCTATCAATGCTAATGGTATGCATACACAATGCAAGGCGACATAAGCATGCAAACAACATGCAAACAAACATGCTCAATGGACTTAAACCGAATATGGACAGACCTCAGTCATGCCCAAAACAGTGGCCATAATGCTATGAAAGATGGCATGAAATGCAAGACAAAGCATGCTAATGCATTTGCCTATCAATTAAGCATAAGATCACAACTCTCAAGAGTGCTCAAGGAGTGATGAACATGGAAGTGTGACAACACTACATGCTCTCAAATTAGGTATGAAATGATGCCAAATCACTCAAACAATATAAGCATAGCATGCTAGGGTCCTTAAAGCATTAAAGCTAGCAAAGAGGACTATAGAAGAGGCATGAAATACATGGCACAAATGAATGAACCAACCATAGACAGAGCTCAAATAGGTCAAGAAAAGGACCAAAGCATGCTGAGATGGGGGCTCAAAGGCCTAGGCATGCATGCATGCAAGCTAAGCCGCAAACAAGGCAACAATACACAACCCTTAGAGGCACTCAAAGGGTGAAAGAAATGGGAACATGACAATACTATATGCTCTGAAATGTCATGTTAAATGACGCCAAATCATGCACATGATACAAATGAAGCATGCTATGGTGCCCAAAGCTTGAAACTAGCATAGGCATTTGCACTATAGCTATGCAAAACAAGAACCATATGGCAAATATAACCCAAAATAGTCCTAAATCATAGCTTAGGCATGAGGGCATACACAAAGGCTCATGTTTAAGGCATAAAGAACCAACCCTTCAAAGCATTAAAAGAGTGACAAATGTGAGTGTATGACCACATCACATGCACTGAAATCACATATCAAATGATGCCAAATCATGCAAATAGCCCAAGCAATGCACGCTAGTGGACTCAATACACAAAGCTAGTAAGCTAGAATGCACTATGGCTATACAAAGCAAGGCATGCATGACCAAAAAAACATAAATCAGACCTTAATAATGGTAAATCATGGCCGAAAGCTTCTTAGAGTTAAGCCAAAAACATGCTAGAATGATGGTCTAAAGTATGATACACATTAGGCTAGTGAATGAAAATACACTACAAGTGCAAGGAGCATGCATAGGGCTGTCAAACCAAGCCAAAACAGATCTAAGGCATGTTAAGACAACACCAAAACCTACTGAGATGGACTCAAAGAATGCTAGAAAGACATGCTACTTCATGAGGCACACAAAGCTAGTTTGTAAGGATCACACTACAAGTGTAAATAGCATGCATGGGGTGACCAAACCAAGTCAAAACAGTGGTATACCATGTCAAAATAACCTTCAAAACAAGTTGAGAATAAGCCAATACAAGCTTAACAAACATGCTCAAACATGAGGCATACAAGGCTAGCAACCAAGATACAAAGAGAGGGAATGACCCTCTCCTATTTGGGACCTCAAAACACCAATTCCACCACTGAAATTCCTCTGAGTTTCAGTGGTGAAAAGGCCAAAAGGAGGTGGTCCCAATAGCTTAAAAGGATAGCACAAAACAAGGCCAAACAAGGCACAAAAGGGGGGTAGATCACCCCCAACACAAAAGAGACCTTAAACAAACATTACAAGCATATAAAATCAGAACTTTTTGCAGTAGAAAGTCAGGCCTAAAACAACATGCAAATAGGGCCAAAAGCTTAATCAAAAACAAGGGTTTAAGAGGTTAGAAGCTCACCCTTGTAGAACAACTTTAGAGTAACAACTCCAGCAGCTTTTTTGGATCAAAACCAGTCCAAAAACACCAAAACCAACTTCAAAGTGCCTCAGCTCCAAGAGTATGGTGTTTCACTATGTGCTTGTGTGCAAAAGTGTGAAGAATAGTCACTTTTGAGCACAAAAATGAAGTGAAATGAAGAAGTATAGATATAGATGATATGTATAGCTCAAGCACAAAGTTCTGAACCTAAGGCAAGAAGGGGGAGGTTCTCTTTTATAAAGAACCAAAGTTTAAGCTTGTTGAACAAGCTTAAGGCCTTAAGGCATCCCTCCATACACGTGTATGGAGGATGGTTTCTGTGCCCTCCAGCTATTACAGCTGGCAAGAAAAGATCTCCACGAAGGTGCTGGAAAGCTGCCAACCACTTGAAGTGGTCGGCCAGCTACTTGTAGTGGTCAGCCGACCACCACAAATGGTCTGCCAGGAAAAAAAGTGGTCAACAGGGTGGTAGGGGTGGTCTGCACACTGAAAGCAAGGCAATGGTGTGGTGGCTAACCACTTTTGGTGGTCCAAAGACTAAGAAAACCAGTTGGCCGACCAGAAAACCAGCTGGCAAGCAGGAAAAGTGGTCTCCAAGGGGAAGAACTGGTCTCCAACCCTCATTCCACACTCTAAGCAGGGAAAACAAGGTTTGCACCAAAAACAAACCAAAAAGGATGCAAGACAAGGGTCCGGGGGTCAAAGCGCGCAGTCGGAAGCCTCGAAAATTAGTCTACGAGCACCAAAAGTGGTCTACGAGGGAAAAGTAGTCTACGACTACAAAAAGTGGTGTACGAGACCACAGTGTCCCTCTAGGCAAGGTCAACAAGGCATGGTTCAAAAACCAAACCAAACGGAGAACGTTAAGTGGTCCTGAGACAAGGCGCGCGGCCGAAGGCTCCAGAAACCGGAAACTGGTCTCTGAGCAGGAAAAGTGGTCTACGACCACAAAAGGGTGGTCTACAAGACCTCTCCCTCCCTCCAGGAAAGGAAAACAAAGGTTTGGTCCACAAACCGAGCCAAAACACAAAGAGTTCAGAGGCTCGGAGGCAAAACACTCAGCCAAAAACTCTGAAACCTCGAAACAAACACAAACATGCACAATCACCAAGCGTTCAATTGATGACGTCTGAGTCTTAAGGTCGGTCAAAAATGGGGTGTCTACAATATATTCACACATGTTGACATATCTGCATAAGTGCACACTAACAAACAAAAATAGGACTCTTTATTTATGTAGATATAATGTATTATGGTCCCCCTTGTCCTGTATTGTTGTTCCTACAACAAATTTGTTGTCTTTTATTGTAGATCCGGATGGTGCTTATTTCACCATCAAAATGCATCATGGTGGGGTTTTACGTCTTTAGTAAATAAGGCTTGCGTAGAGAGGAAATTATCATTTTGGGACAACTGTGATACTAACAAAATGAGGTTGACAGAGAAAAGGGATATGGCTTAGAAATTAGGTTATATTGAATTCATTTCATACCATTATCGAGTGCCTGATAGGGATTTAAATTATGGATTAAGGCCACTTAGAAATGATAGTGATGTAATGGATATGGTAAAATGGGTGCATATAAGTAGGATAATTGAAGTGTATATAGAACACATCCCTGATGATCATTTGTTTGAGGTTGAAAAGTTTGATTCCTTTCACCATGCATCAGTTGTCATTGAGAAAATTGGAAGTGGCACAAGTAATGTGTAGGTTGAGGGCTAGGTTGAAGTTGAAGTAGAAAGACAGAGTGATGCTTCATCTAACTATACTACAGATCTAGAGGGGTTTGAGGATAGTGACTATGAATGATTTCAATGAGGATGACATACTATTTGATGTTAATATTGATAAGAATGTTGAATGGGGTGCGTTAGGAAGGCATGAGCCTAATAATCAAAAAATTGAGGTACCTCATATTGACTGCCTAGAGCCTAATGCTACATCTGATGAACTCAAAAGCATTGATGGATCTTCTGATGAAGAGGATGTAAGCAATAGGGTTAGATACCTAGAGTTTAATCCAAATATAGACATGGCAGACCCACAATTCAAGGTTGGCATGGTTTTTGGCACTTCAAAAATATTCATAGTTGCTATTAAGGAGCATGGTATGAAGATTGAGAAGGCTATTGAGTTAGTAAAAATTGATAGCATGAGGGTTAGGGCCACTTGTAAGCCACCGTGTCAGTGGATACTTTATGCATCCAAGATGCAACAACAACCACCATTCCAAATAAAGACATATGTCCCCACTCATAATTGTGGCAAATTTTTTTATAATAGACAAGTGAGTTCTACCTAGCTATCTAAGAAGTACTTGGAGACATTAAAGTCAAATCTATCCATTCCAGTGCAGTCATTCAAGCAAGTTGTGCAAAAGGATCACAAGATTGGGATATCAAGGAGCCAAGTGTATAGGACAAAGAGAAAAGCACAAGAATTGATAGAAGGAAGCCTGATGGAACAATATGCCAAGTTATGTGACTATTGTGAGCAGATAAAAAGAACTAATCAAAGGATAACAATCATAGTGAAGGAAGATGACGAGGACTCAGAAAATGAAGAACATGAAATAGAGTAAGACAAGCCTAGGTTTCAAAGGATTTTTGTATGCTTTGGAGCTTGCAAGCAAGGTTTTCTAGCAAGATGTAGGCCATTCATTGGGATTGATGCCTATCATTTGAAAGGGCCATACAAGGGACAACTGTTGCAAGCTGTTGGTTTGGATGGGAATAACAACAGCTACCTATTGGCCTTTGCAGTTGTTGAAAGAGAAACAAAGAGTTCATGGAAATGGTTCTTTGAAATATCGTGTGACACTCTTGGGTGGTTCAACAAGTAAGGAGTGACCTTCATGTTAGACAAGTAAAAGGTAAATGTTTATTTCAAGCTTTATGTATTTATTAAAACTTTTTAGTTCATTTAAACTCTATAACTTTTTTTTGTTCCACTTCAAATGTAAGGATTGTGTCCAACACTTGTAGAGGTTGCACCTATGGCAAAGCATAGGTTTTGCATCAAGTATCTTTATGCCAATTTCAGGGATAGTTTCAGGGGGTGTACCTAAAGGACACTGTGTTCAAAGCTGCGAAGGCTTCTTATGTACAAACATTTGAGGCTCATATGGAAAAGTTGATGGAAGTTGATGAAGATGCATTCAATTGGTTAGCTGAAAAAACTCCAAGCACCTGATATCGTAGACAACAACATATGTGAGAGCTTTAATAGCTTGATCCTAGAAGCTAGAGGGAAAAACCACACTCTCTTTGTTAGAGGACATTAGGTGTATCTTGATGAAGAGGCTACAGGTGAGAAGGGAAGTAATGAGGGCTTACCCAGGACTTATTTGTCCTAATATACAATAAGTATTGGAGAAAAGGAAAGAAAATGCAAGCAATTGTATTGCTATATGGGCAGGTGGTTTGAGGTACCAAATAAATTGCTTCAATGGACAACAATTTGTAGTTAATTTAGGTGATTCAACTTGTTTATGTAAAAGTGGGATCTAGCTGGCATATCATGTGGTCATGCCATATCAGCCCTATATGAAAAACATGAGTGACCTGAAGATTATGTGGCTCATTGGTAGAACAAGGAGACATACTTGGCCAACTATAAGCCAATGATATACCCAATAAATGGTTCTGAAATGTGACCAAAGTCAGTGTTGCCTGGATTATTGCCTTCAAAAGTGAAGAACAACTTGGTAGGCTAAGAACGTTGAAAACAACGCAAGTTGATGAGCCCAACAATCCTCATAAGTTAGACAAAACGCAACAACTATATGCAGCTTATGTGGTAAGCTTGGGCACAACAAAAGAGGTTGCAAAAGGCAGCCAATTGCAACAAAGGTTAGCCTAGACATAATTTGTTAAATCTTCATAAGTTTAATTCATTTTATTAAAGGTCCTTCATGCAATTAATTACTAACCATTTGCAGGTGAGAAAGAATCAATTAAGCACCTAGAGAAACAGTTAGCCACCTACTCAACCCAGTAGTCAACCAAGAAACCAAGCAACCACTGAATGCACCAGTCAACAAGGCACTCAACCAAGCAGTTTAGGAAGGCTTAAGGCAAGGCCTGAACATGGAGCAACCAGTTCAGCAAGGCCTAAGGCAAGCAGTCAACCACCACCCAAGAGCAACAAACCAGTCTCAAGTTTTGCAATTGGTAGTCAACCAAGCTTCAACTTCAAAGCAGCATTGTAAGGGGTGAACATCATGGGACCTCCACCAGGGTTCATTAGAACAAGAACAAATGTTGAGCCAAACCCATATAAAGGTGCATATTATGGTTTAGCAACATATGTGTCAAAGGGACAGAAGTTTGTGGCCTTGTCTTCACTACCAAAACATGGAACAAATTCAAAAGGGAAGCAATAGTTAGCTAACACTTTAATAGTTAACAACAGTACTTTTGTGGATTGTTATGTATTTTGTTTAATTTTGAACATTAGTGTTCTGGTGGATTTGACCTTTATGTTTTGTTGGGATATGGTGTTAGGATTTGGTCAGGACATTTCAATGTTTTGTTGGATTTGGCCTTTGTATTTTGTTCGGACATGATAAACTATTTGGCCTTTGTGTTATTTCAAGTTTTTGTATTGAAACATGTTTGGACCATTTTTTTTTTTTGGTAGCAACTATGTCTGCCCATGTTTGCCAATGTCTTGTTATAGGTTGCACCATGTTTGCCAAAATGTGTGCCAAAAGTGAAACAAAACTTTATGCACCATGTTTGCAACAATGCTTGTCAAAAGTGAAACAAAATAATGCCAATAAAACATTATAAAACAAAACAATCACTTAAATCAACTACAAATTAACCATTATAAAATAAACCCATAATATATATCACTAGTGTGATTCAACAAAACATTGATACAACTTCAATAACAAAAATCAACATTGATACAACTTCAATAACAAAAATCCTAGCATTGATACAACTTCAATAACAAAAATCCCAACATTCCCAGATTGTATTTCCATGCAATCCTAACATTCACACATAATTAACCCCAAATACATAGCACTGGACTTAACAAAATAAAATACTAAACTCCATTCCCCATCCAAAAGCTTCAATAACAAAAAAATAAAAAATAAAAACCAAAATAATAATAATAATAATAATTTTAAAAAAATAATCCTACTCCATTCCTAGTCCACAAGCTTCAATTTCCATCATTGTCAGTGCGTGAAAGAGAAGTAGCTGCAGAACCATCTCCAATCATGTTCCAACACAAAAAAATGAGCCATGACAATGCCATAAAAGTAATTAGTTTCCTCTGTCTTACTCTGTGCATCTCCAATTTCTCTTTAAGCATGGTGGTTCTTCGGAGCAACCAAGGTATGATCTCTCGAGCACGAGGACAAAATGGAGGGTCAACCGAGAGAAAGAATCCACATGCATATCTGCTTTGCAATTTTTTTTCATAAACACCTTAGTTGGATTTATAAACAGTATAACAAAAGGACATACCAATCTTTTTTCATATACACTTACACCATATTGAGGACATCCCCAAAACCTTCATCCAGGGTTGTTCTCCATCCAAGAAGTCTTCAACTAAGCTTCCATTCTACATCGGCATAGTATACGATCCATTATCTTCCTTCATCTTCCATGAATGTTGGTGTCTGTATGTATATAATGGAGATAGAGACAACATGTATGGTTTTGGTGGGAGTCACCTAGGGTTTGTGGTGAAAAGATGAACGCGCCTGTTACGACCCAAACCTGCCCCTATAGGTTTAGCATCGTAATCGGCCAGTAATCCGTGATTACTGACGGCCTATTTTACAATGATGACAATAATACAATATAAAGGGGCTGGCGGAAGGCAATCAATAATAACATACATCGTCCAATGAGCTGTGAGGACCTAAATGGAAATAAATTTTCATATACATAGTAATATACACAAACACTTATCTACATAAAACACATATATACAAGACAAAACACAATATAGGAAATTAAATCTCATTATCGAAAACAATATTAACAAAATTCATAAAACATTCATTTCACTTGACCAATATCAAAGGAGTGAATTTGAACCACCCAAAAGCCTTGACCCATGTTGGTTCGGAACCTCGCGGTGAGACACAATAGCTGGTTTGACAAAACAAGGGCTCGGGTCAACGCCACTAGCTTTGATCCGATACTCAATCACCTATATATATAATAAACAGTGAGCTAAAGCCCAGTGAATAACAAATGTGTAAAGAAGTTAAGAATGATGTCCTTACAGTCTTTGAAACAATCAATTATCATTAGAACATTTCAATCAATATCATTTGTCAATCAATCGTTTAATCGTTCAATTCAATCAATCATATTCATATAGGTCATACGTGGTACATCCAATAGCAACAATACAATACAATAGGTCTTAAAGACCAAACACTCAATTGATGGCCATCATACAATAACAATAGTTCCAAGATTTGGAACTAACAGCGATCTGTGTAACAATAGCGATAACAATATCAATAACAATAACAATATGCTATGGATGCCACGAATACAGTTCAGAAAATAGGATCATCATTTAATCGATAAAAAGTATCATTTTAGAAAATAATATAATTCATCAATTTGAAAATAAATACAATTGAACATATCTTTACAACAGTGTTACTCACAGTGGGCTCCTCAGTACACGTACTAATGGTTCGGCATCCGACCTAAACAAATAAAGTTAAGCATAACACGGTTACAATCACACTCTTACAATTCTATTCAATTCGATCGTTCGATCTTTATTCGTTTTCTCTCATTTGATTCTAATTTTTCATTCTGTTATTCTTATTTATTTTTTTTCCATTCCTTTTAAAAATATGGATGACTAGTATTAGGAATAAATTAGATTATTAACTTCCAATTAAAATATGTTTAGCTATGTATTAACCAACTAATTAAATATAAATAATGTAATCATATACCAACCCTTATTAAGTTCGCTAATTGCGCAATCAAACTTAAATTAGGCTCATACACATTAAATTACAATTATTCAATTATGTTTAAATTACTGAATCAGAAACTCATAAATATGTACATTTTGTAATTTTAACTCCATTTTCAAGCAAATCAAGCCCAAATAATTAATCTTCACATTTATTTTCATAATCTTAAGCCTAACTCAATTTCGATTGAATTTAATTAATTATCAATTGAGGCTTAATTTGACTACATCTAATTTTACAAACCTAAATCACATTTTTAATTGAATTCTTATGAGGCTCTAGATATCAAATTAAACTCATTCCTCCATTTTTGAAACTCAATTTCATGAAACATCCATTTTCTTGAACCCAAGCTCTAATTTATGCTTAATATCTCCTTAAACTCTATGAATCATGGTTAAAAACAAGTTTAGAACCCAAGTTCTTTTAAGAATATGCCATGCAAGTACATGAGTAAATCTACTAATTAATTATAAATTCAACTCAAGTTTTCTAATAAAAATCAAATAAACTTTTGAAATAAAATATATAGACATAGATATACATATTTGAACTTTAAAACTTTACATCCCATGGAATTTCCTTGCAAATTGAAAACCCAT